TTTCTGATGAAGGGTCTAGGCCCGAAACGTCAGCCTTCCTGCTCCTATGATGCTGCTTGGCCTGCTGTGTTCATCCAGCTCTACACCTTGTTATCTCAGATTCTCCAGCATCTGCAGTTCCTACTATCTCTCCCATTGACTTCAGTCGATTTAGATGCCTGGCTGTGTGCAAATTGCCAGCTGCTTTGTCTGCAATATCACAGTGACGATGATGTGAAAATAGATTAGTTACAAAGTGCTTTGAGAAGCCCTGAGGTTGAGAAACTTATTATTATCAATGTACATTCCTTGAAAGATGTCCTATAAATAAATTATTTCAATTTTTTCTCATGTAGTATTTTGATGTGAAATTGTACCTCGTTGCAAATTACTGCAGAAGTATTTTTGTTAGAACAGTTGCAGTTGGCAATGGAAGAGTTGCTTTGTTGGCACCATAACCTGATAAGAAGAAACAAAACTGTTGGTACATGATAACTTAATATCTCATCTGAAGAATAGTACCTCCCCTTCCTCAGTAATACATTGGGAGTATATATTAACCGCTTGAGTTTCTGCCACGGGACCTGAATCCATAATCTTCTGCATCTGAGGAAGGAGTGCTATCAACTTAGCCACTACTAAGATAAGAAGGTAATAGCGTTTATGAGGGTTTTTCTTTTTCTGCATTGAAATTATGATCAATTTTTGGTGGTCTTAAATGGAGAACATCTGTGTGTTTTGTTTTAATAGTTAATGTTGGTGATTACATCCAAGCTGTGTTGGATCGAAACCTGGCTGAGAATATATCCCGAGTGTTGTACCCCAATGACAATGTAAGCATGCCATCCACTACCTTTTATAAAACTTCTACTTTTAACAGTTTGTTCCAAACTTTACTGTACACCCCAACTCCATTTCCTCTAAACAATGAGCAAAATTTGTTTCTTGTCACAAGTGTTTAACCCACTGAGAGAGATCCAGTGGGAGCCCCTGCTGACAGTGCTGTGTGGAAGGCCTGACACTATTTAAGTGCAATCAGGAACTTAACTGGACAATATTGGAACTAATGTTCGCCAACACCAACGATAGTAGAAATCCCACACCGAGAAGCTGCCAGCTAATCAGGGGCCATCAGCTTACCAATGCTGGCAGCACCATTGGGAACAATGGCTGTTGCTGCCTATATGTTCTGTGTTCTTCAACGAGGATAACCGCTGGAGTTCCGGAAATAGCTGAGTGTGGGCAGGGGTTGGCTTGGAAGCAGCAGCAGGAGGGTGACTAGTTTTGATGTTTGTGGGGTAATCACCTTTTAGGTGGCTTATTAATTCATCTATTTGACATTCTGCTGTCAGCAGTTATGATGACCGTGTTGGGTCCCTCCTACCCCCTAGTAATTGAAGTGAAGTGAATAGCATCAATGCATTTAAAGGGAGGCTAGCTAAGCATCTTTAAAGAGGAAGGAATTGGAGAATATGCTCGTAGTGTTAACTGAAGGAGAGCAAGAAGGGTATCATGTTGTGCATAAACCAAAACCTAGAACAGTCAGGATGAATAATATGTTTGCCTTGCACTTCACTTAATTCTAAGGAACTGAGTGGACATTTAGTGATGGCCCGTCCTTGTGTACAAGGAACACATGCTGATCTTCTGTGGTGGCCTTCTTGGAAAGTTTGGCCTTGGCACTTGAGGAAAGCAGTCAAAATAGGTGTGACCTCAGGTCTGTTAACATAGGTCACAGTAGTATCCCGATTATATCATTGGATTTATAACCTGGGTGCCTGAATTGGTGATGTGGCGAGAGTTAGAGAGCTTGAATTCTGGTTTTAAAATCCTGAACTGAAAAGATCAGATCAGTAGTGGTGTTAGAGAACATACTAGTCCCAATATTGTGACCTTGGATCAATTTTACAATTTAAATCTCACTGGGGAGAAAAGGAATGCAACCCATCCTTTTTTTCCTCAAAGAAAATACTGCGAGTGAATGTCACAGACGTTTAGTATTTTGAAAGGCTTTGACAACTAGGATTCAAGTGAGCTTTTCTACTGTGTACGGAATTTCAGAATTGGGGTCATATTTATAAACTAAGAACAACAAAATGCAAGAGGGAATTTCTTTTTAACCAAAGGGGTAGTAGGTGATAAGTTTTTGGAACAAATTACTACCATCAGAGATGGAACAAGAAGTTTCAAGAAGTAGCTGGATGTTTTCACGTGAATGAGTGAAATTCAGGCTCACGAGAAATTCACCAAAGAAGTTGCCTGAGTAGAGGGGTTAGAGATGCCAAAGATCATTTCCTGTATGAAATGATTATCATGTAATATGTGAAGGTGCTTCAGAGTCACCCACGCCTCTTGAGCAACTCCCACCCACAATGATTGAGTCCATGTTATGTGGCAAGACTATGTAGTTGTTGAATTGCATTTGCTTACATTGTTATTGACTTTGTGACAGAAAGTTTTATGACTCTTAAAATTGTCAACCATTTAGTTCTTTGAAGGTAAAGAGCTCCGTTTAAAACAAGAATACTTTGTGGTAGCAGCCTCGCTCCAGGACATAATCCGTCGCTTCAAGTCTTCAAAGTTTGGTTGTCGGGATCCAGTCCGCACTTCATTTGAAACTTTCCCAGACAAGGTAAGTTGCCCAAGGCTGAAGACTTAACAGAATTTAATCGGAGCACAATCCAACTAGGAAGGAGGAATTGCTGGATCTGTTGCTGAGGATTGAGGTGGATCAGGTGGATCAAGTGTCAGTGTGGAAGTATTTGAGTAAGAGGGATCATATATCTTATTGCAAGGTATAGATTCATTATTTAGAACAGCAAGAAGTTATCTAAAATAAAATTTCCAAGTTGGAAAAAGGTTAATTTCAAAAAGATGAGTGAATTGAGCCAGAGTGAAATATAATCAAAGACCAACAGACAATGAGTAATCTTTAAGGAGATCTTTCACCTACAAGAGATTGTTTAAGGAATGCATACCGCGTGTGCTCAATAGGTTTGTCCCTAGCAGGCAGGGAAGATACGGTCGAGTGAGGGAGCCTTGGTTCTCGAGAGAGGTCGAACGACTAGTTAAGAGAAAGAAGGATGCTTATGTAAGGTTTAGGAAACAAGGATCGGAAAAGGCTCTAGAGGGATACAAGTTAGCCAGAAAAGAGCTGAAGAAAGGGCTTAGGAGAGCTATAAGGGGGCATGAGAAAACCTTTGCAGATAGGATCAAGGAAAACTCCAAGGCTTTTTACACGTATGTGAGGAATAAGAGAATGACCAGAGAAAGGGTAGGGCCGATCAAGGATTGTAAAGGGAATTTGTGCACAGAGCCTAAAGAGATAGGAGAGGTCCTTAATGAATACTTTACTTCGGTATTCACAACTGAGAGGGACCTAGTTGTGGGGGAGGACAGTGTGAAACAGGCTGGTAGGCTAGAGGAGATGGATGTTAGTGAGGAAGATGTACTAGGAATTTTGAGGAACTTGAAGATAGATAAGTCCCCCAGGCCTGATGGGAGTTATCCAAGGATTCTATGGGAAGCGAGGGAAGAGATTGCAGGACCTTTGGCAATGATCTTTTCGTCCTCACTGTCCACGGGTATAGTGCCAGAAGATTGGAGAGTGGCAAACGTCATTCCCCTGTTCAAAAAAGGAATAGGGAAATTATAGGCCAGTTAGTCTTACTTCAGTGGTGGGCAAATTATTCGAAAGGGCTCTGAGAGATAGGATTTATGATCACTTGGATAGGCACAGTTTGATTCGTGATAGTCGGCATGGATTTGTGAGGGTTAGATCATGCCTCACAAACCTTATTGAATTCTTTGAAGAGGTGACCAAACACGTGGATGAAGGTAGAGCAGTTGATGTGGTATACATGGAACTAAGTAAGGCATTTGATAAGGTTCCCCATGGTAGGCTCACGCAGAAAGTAAGGAGGCATGGGATAGCGAGAAATGTGGCAGATTGGATTCAGAATTGGCTGAGCCTTGGAAGACAAAGGGTGGTAGTGGACGGAAAATATTCAACATGGTGCTCAGTTACGAGTGGTGTACCACAAGGATCTATTCTGGGTCCTCTTCTGTTTGTGATTTTTGTAAATGATTTGGATGTAGGAGTGGAAGTAAATTTGTAAGTTCGCGGATGATATGAAGGTCGGTCGAGTTTTGGATAGTGTGGAGGGCTGTTCTAGGTTACAAAGGGACATTGAGAGGATGCAGAGCTGGGCTGAGAAGTGGCAGATGGAGATTAACCCTGAAAAGCGTGAGGGGATTCATTTTGGAAGGACAAACTTGAAAGCAGAATACAGGGTTAACGGAAAGATTCTTGGCAGTGTGGAGGAGCAGAGGGATCTCAGGGTTCATGTCCACAGTTCCCTGAAAGCTGCCATCCAGGTGGATAGATTTGTTAAGGCGTATGGTGTGTTAGCTTTCATTAATAGAGGTCTTACGAGGAAAGGTTGAGAGCTAGGGCTTTTCTCTTTACAACGACGAAGGATGAGAGGTGACTTGATAGAGGTGTACAAAATGATCAGAGGTATAGATAGAGTAGACAGCCAGAGACTTTTTTTTTTCCGAGGTAGCTATTACGAGGGGGCATAGTTTTAAAGTGAGTGGAGGTAGATATAGGGGAGACATCAGAGGTAGGTTCTTTACTCCGAGAGTGGTAGGGGCGTAGAATGCATTGCTGGAGAGGCTAGTGGAGTCGGCCTCATTAGGGGCATTTAAGCAGCTATTAGATAGGCATATGGATAACAGTATAAAGTAGGGGTGGAGGTTAGATAGACCTTGGGTTTAGGGTAAAAGTTTGGCACAACATCATGGGCTGAAGGGCCTGTACTGTTCTATGTACAAGCTGGGTATATCCCAATAAGGGAAAAGTAGGGAAATTCATTGGAAATCCAATGAATGAGGCTCTTTTCCATAAGAGCTCAGATTCAGATGAGTTCTTTTTCCCAAGGCAGGAGCTTCAGAATTCCTTTTAAAGTTGATAAAGATGCAGCAGTATGAAGCTACACAGAGACTTGGTCCGCTTTTCAGTTAGATACAAAATTTCTTTTACAACTGCAATTCAAGGAGGCTTACTTGGACTTGAGGCAGGCTTAGCTAAGCTTGAAGTCTGGTAATGGTGTTACACGTTACGTTGTCTGTATATTTGACTCCATGTTAATAGCAGATTTGATTCTTAGAAGACATGGCAATGACTTCCAAAATATATAATTAATGCTTTTCAAAGACCGGAGGAGTTTTGATCATGCAACAAGATTCCTACATGAGCCACTTTAGTTAATGGGGAAATTTGTATGCATCTGGTCACAATCGTGTTCCTTGTTTTTAAAAATAAAGAAAAATAGATGTTTATCCATTGGCCACTTTTCAGGCGTAGTGAGTTTTGTTAGCTCTTTGTTTGCTAGACCCTACTGGGGAGTCCTTTCATCTACTGTTCTTTTTTAGGTTTGTTGACTGCAAACTTCACCAAGGGTATGAGTTTTCTCCTGTTGGTTACATTGCCTGGAAAGTTCCAGTCAGCAATTAACTTGCATCTTTGACAGTGGTTATGTTTTGGTCTGGCAAAATCCAATTAAAAATTTAAATAAAGCATTGCTTTTAAAACAAATTATGACTTCTCTTCATATCTTATCAGTTTGACAAGTGCAAAAACAAGGTAGTTATACTGAACCTTTATAAACCTTTGATAAGGTCTCAACTAGAGTATTGCAACTAGTTCTAGTCAGTGCATAATAGGGAGGATGTGAGGTCCTTGAAAAGAACTGAGGAGATTTATTATAATGATTCCAGGAATGAGGGATTTGGATTGGAGAAAGAGCAGGGAGTTTTAGAGAAGATTCAGTAGGGTTTTACAAGATTGAGTTGTTTACAAGAAACAGACCAAGAACATCGGTTCCTTTGTCTGTCTGACTGACTTCAGGCTTTGGACAAGGAATGTGAGGAAGATAATTTTTATGCAGTAAATAGTAATGACCTGGAACTTGCTGTACGAGTGTTGTGCAGCAGAGGTGGCCAATGAGTCCAAAAGAAAATTGGATGGGTCCTTGAAGGAAATGAACTTGCATGGCTGTCGGGATAGAGTGGGGCGGGGCAGGATTTAAGGGACTAAATGGATAGCGGCGCTATTGTGGCTTAATGCCCCAGGCTATCTGTTTCTGTTTTGTATGTTGATAAGCTTTTCATTGCTAGAAATTTATCAAGGGATATGGGGAAATGGCATTGAGGTAGGAGAACAGTCAGGATCTGGTTTGAATTTGGAACAGGCTCAGGGACAAAATAATCTCCTCGTTATCATAATTCTGGTCTTTTCTCCCTTTCTATCTGTCTTTTCAGTGCCTGTTTCTTTCATTGTCTCACATTGCAGTTAGTGGAGCACATTTAATGTCTGATAGTTTGAAAAAAAATAGCTGCACTGGTGCAGTGGTGACTCAGCATGTCAAACAGATTGCATAAATAAGCAATTGTTTCAAAACTGCAATCAATGAATTCAGAATGTTAATGAGGCCGGTTGCTGTGCCAAGCAGAAAGAGCAGATTAAATTACTGAGAGTTCTGAGAAATGCACCTGCAGTTGGCAGCTAGAGTATAGAACATTGAATCACAGAATATTTACACCTCAGAAGGAGATAATTCAACCTATTTTGTGCATGCTGTCCTTCTGCAAGATCAACTGAGTCTAACTCCTCTACCTTTTCCTTGCAGCCCTGTACATTTGTTCTCTTCAGAGAAATGTCCAGTTTTTTTTTAAGAAAGCCATGATTGAATCCATCACCAACACGCACAGGCAAAACATTCCGTATCCTGACCACTGACTGCTTGGAAAAGTTGTTCTCAATGTCATCATTACTACTTTTGCTTAGCATCCTAAATTGGTTCTGGTTCTCAACTTTTCTACTAGTTTCTTTTGTTTGTATCTACTTTGTCCAGACAGCTCATGATTTTTGGTGCCTCTATCAACTCTCCTTTTTAATCTTCTTTTTTCCAAGGAAAACTGTTCCAGCTTCAATTTATCCATGTGACAGAGGCTCTTCATCCATGGAACCTTTCTCATGAATCTTTTCTACACCCTCTGTAATGCCTTCACTCTCCTCCTGAAGCATGGAAGGCTGAGATAATGTTTATACGTATTTATCCTACGTTCCTTACAGAGAGGTTCCTTACGTGCAGCACGGAAACAGACCCTTTGGTCCAACCAGTCCATGCTGAACATAATCTCAAACTAAACTAGTCCCACCTTCCTGCTCCTGGTCCATATCCTTCCAAACCTTTCCTATTCATGTACTAACCTAAGTGTCTTTTAAAAGTTGTGACTGTGCCTGTGCCTGTGTCCACCACTTCCTCAGGAAGGTCATTCCACATGTCAACCACCGTCTGTTTTTTTAAAAAAAAAAAAATTGCCCTTCATGTCTTTTTTAAATCTGTCCCCTCTCATCTTAGAAATATAGCCCCAATTCTTGAAATCTCCCATCCTACAGAAAAGACACATACCGTTAACCCTGTCTGTAGCCCTCATGATTTTATAAACCTCTACAAGCTAACCTCTCAACCTCCTACGTGCCTGTGGAAAAGTCCCAGCCTATCCAGCCTTTCTTTATAACTCAAACCTTCCATACCTGGCATCATCCTAGTAAATCTCTTCTGAACCTTTTCAAGCTTAATAATATCCTTCCTAAAACAGGACAACCAGAACTGGACACTGTATTCCAGAACAGGCCTTACCAATGTTCTGTACAACCTCAACATGATGTCCCCACTCCTATACTTTACATGTATACTCTGTGTTTCTACTTTAAAGTCTAGGATCTCATAGTTTATTAGCCAGTTTCTTAATCTGTCTGACCACCTTCAGTACTTGGTGCATACATAGCCATAGGTCCCTCTACTTCCACACCCCATTTAGAATTGTGCCCTTTTTGAATCCTCTCTCCTCATTCTTAGCAAAACTGGTCGCTACACTTCTTACTTCACTGAGTGTGAGCACAGACTATGCTTGTGTCTCTGATTTAGATCATGAAACTATAACCTTCAGACTGACGGGAAGGCACTACCTACTACTGTGCCACAGAATAATAACAAAATTCCCTGCGTACAAGCAGAGGAAATAAAGCTTTCAACTTGAGTGAGAAAATGAACATTCATCCTATTGTCAATTTATGGGCAGTACTGGACTCGAACTTGGAATGTTGCTTTTATAACCTGTGTGTTGCTGTTGCTCAGACTTTGTGCTCTTCCCAATTTTTGAGTAAGCCTGATAAGCTTATTGATGTATTAAAGTTGATGTTCCTTTGTTCCCAGGTTGCCATTCAGCTCAATGACACCCATCCTGCCCTGGCCATTCCTGAACTGATGAGAATTCTAATAGATGTTGAGAAGCTTGATTGGGAAAAGGTACGGGTTTGACTAGTCATTTCCCTTTACCATTTGCAAATAAATTCCTTTAATGTAGAAAACACTCAAAGATTCTTGACAAGAATATTTTCTGTCAAAATTTGAAAGACGGCACTGAGCCACAAAGATACGTTTGACCAGATCACCAAAGCCAGATATATTTAATGACCCACAGGATTATTTCAGATTGAGATGCTGACTGTTCATCCTATAGGATCTTTTATGTCTGTATAGGAATGTTAAAAGCAAAACTTGGTCCAACAAGAAACTATTTAATTATATAAACTGAGTCTGACTGTGCCCTTGTCTGTCACTGAATATCTCCTGCACAGTCTGTTGTGGCAGATGTCTTTCCATTTCACCTGCGTCCACAGCAGGGAGGCTTACTCTCAGTTATGCCCTTGCATTAAAGACTTTCCTGCCTTTAAGCAGCTGGTTTTTTGGCTAGTACAGCACAGTTGGGTCATAAATGTTCTTGGTAGAATGCAGGTTTCATTCCACATGGTCTGGACTACTTGTAATTCTAAATCCATACCGATGTGGTATAGTCTTTGAAGTATTCTAGCAAGCCACTCGGATCTATAAAGCTTCTTCAAGGCCACTAAGGACGACCAGTAAGTACTAGCCTTGCCTGTGCTGTGTGTACTTCCTTAGACTGAATAATTTAAAAACAGCTATTCAAAGCAGAATGTTTAAATTAATCGGAAATTGAAAATTTAACTGCCATAAATAGCAGTCTGAAATAGTTTTATCTATTTTTGTTCAAGAAGGGCGGAAGGTCAACAGCACACTGAGGAAGCACAGTATCATCTTATCTGGCAGAAACTATTTGAATTGAGACAGGAGGAGAGAAAGCAATCCAGTAATAATTTATATCAGGAAAACCTTTTAGATTGAGACTTCTGTTTGAATGTTGGCTGTCTTTAATCTACAAATATTCTCTACAAAGTTCCTGTTCATTCTTCAGGTCCAAGGATTACAGGAAAAGTTGGCATTTATTGTTCATTTCTTGTTATCCTGAAAAAGTGATGGTGAGAGATAGTAGGAACTGCAGATGCTGGAGAATCCGAGACAACCAGGTGCAGGGCTGGATGAACACAGCAGGCCAAGCAGCATCATAGGAGCAGAGAGGCTGTCGGAGCTTTCATCTTAAACTGCTGCTGTCTGTGTTGGGTATAGGTTTGATACAACGGAGTGACTTACTAGGCCACTTGAGAGGGCAGTTAAAGGTCAGCCACATTGCTGTGGATAGGAACAGCAGGCTTCCTTCCCAAAAGGACTATTAGCTTGGCCTGCTGTGTTCATCCAGCCCTGCACCTTGTTGTCTCGGATTCTCCAGCATCTGCAGTTTCTACTATCTCCTATTAGTTAACAGTTGGGTTTCACTGGCCTACAACCAGCTGCTTAAAGCAAGTAAGATGTTCACCCAGATTAATGATTCTAAAATAATGCAACTTAACTGCAGAGGTGATTTCATGTTGTCATTTGTGATTAACTGTTAATGGTTTCCAACTACTTCAGAGATGCTGTTAATTCTCCTTTTTTGTTGAAAGTGGACTACTTGGATCTGGGATCTATTCAAATGGTTGCCTAAAATACCATTTACAGTCAAACCACTGAATATATACAAAGACCAAAGTCCACATAGTCCATTTGGTTTGCCTTCTACTATCCCGGTAGATTGGCCAATCATGGCAAGCAATAGTTATCAATTAGTCCACAACAGGCCTAGACATAAGATAATTAAAAATACCAGTAGTGGTAAACTGTGGGAACCATAGAACCACAATTACCTGAATCATCAAAACACGTTATATTTTCGTCTCAAATTATTCTTGCACTGTTATTGTGTCTCAAATTACTCTTGTCCTGTATATCTTTTTTTTGGTATTTCTTCTTGAAAGGCTTGGGATATAACAAAACAGACCTGTGCTTATACCAACCACACGGTGCTACCTGAAGCTCTAGAACGCTGGCCTGTTCAGATGTTTGAACGTCTTCTGCCAAGACACCTGCAAATAATTTATGAAATCAACCAGAAACATTTGGACGTAAGAAATATTTTTGCACAATTTTGCGTGTTGTTTCTCACTTTCTCTTGCTTCCTTCAGTGAGCTCTTTATTTCGGTTTTCCATTGCCTCGAATGAGGGGATTGTCATATGATGAGAAACTGAGTAAATTGGATCCATATTTTCTGCAGTTTAGAGGAATAGGAGGTGAATGCATTGAAACAATGCGAGATTCTGAAGGGGTGTGACAAGGTAAATACTGAGGGGTTATTTGCAATAGCTAGGGAATCAAAACACAAGGATACGAGCCATTATGATAAGGTTATGATCATTCGGAGCTAAGTAGAAATTTCTTAACCTAAAGGTTGTAAGCCTTGAAATTTTCTACCACAGAACGTTATATGTCCTTGTTGAATATATTTAAAGCTGGAACAGGCATTTTTTTTTTGGTGTTTTGAGGGATATGGCAGCAGGCGGAAAAGTGAATTTAAAGCCCATGATCGAATTAAATGGTGGAGTAGCCTTGACAAGCCCATGATCGACTAAATGGTGGAGCTGTTTGGCCTTGACTTATTTCTTGTGTTTTCTGCAGCCTTCAGACTTTTAAAACCTAGGTTTGGCTTACCCTGAATAATGACTTCATAATATATTTACTTTCTTCAAATTGAAGGTATTCTGCACAATGAACCTTGAAGAATAGGTTTGGGCAATTCAGCCAGTTGAATCTGTTCTGCTATTCAATTAGATTATGACTGATCCCAATTTCACCTTATACCTTTGCTCCATATATGCCTCAAATCTTTTAACTTGCAAAATTATTGGGCAGATCAGGTCTCTGGATCATCGGACGTATGATTGAAGAGGCATGTTCGGACCATGCAGAAGTCCTGACGTGCACCAATGTCGGAATTTAAATTTCTGGCACTCATTCCTCTATTCCCCAGGCCCCTATGTGAAGGTCTCCAGCTCTGTGCTAGGAGATTTTAAGCAGTTAAGTAGTATATGCCTGGACAGTTACAAGGAAATGTTGGCCAGATTAGAACCTAGTCTAACATCTAGGCATCTTCACAACTGATCAGCCCTGACCTGACCTGTCTAACCCTGAGTTAACCTGAGTACCTCGTTATTTGACTGCCCTGACTACTCCCTACAACCATGTCCTCTTCGACCATGCAACCCAGTCTGACTGACCCTGACTACCTGGTAACCCACTGACCACCTTACTACCTTTCCAACTTCACCGGCAACCACCCAACTAACCTTGCACTGACTACCTCCCTAGCCATCCCCCCAATTATTTGACTAACCAAACAGATCTATGCCCATGACCACTAAAACTATACCCGCATCGAGCCAGTACCCACCTACCATCTCATCCACTTAAGCATCTGATCCACTCACCCGTTCACTAGCATTCAAAGACTATACTTCTCAACTTAACTATACAGAAACTAGTGCCATAAAAGACTAAAACAATACTGGATCAGAACTGTGACTCTTTTAAACATAACCCAGTAAATTGCAGTGTTCTGGTTGATCAGCATCGCAGGCACCAGTTCTAGTGCTGATCAAAAACAAAGGAGCCCTTATTTATAGCTGAGAGAAAACCTGTGCTGTTGAAGCTTTTCGTCTTGCGTTCAGCAAGGCAAACTCGAGAATACCAAAATTTCAAATTATTATGGATCAGACCAAACCCCTTCAGAATATATAGTCTAGACCCTAACCTTTTCTTATTTAAAGGTAAAGGGAAGGTGTTGCATTCCAGATGCAATTTGGTTAGTCAAACTACTAGATTTGAAGCAAAACACACCTTTCTTTTGTATTTTAACTATAGTGTATGAATAAAGAAGGAATTGGCAGAAATTAACTCTACTGGAAAACTTAATAGAATAATAGATTATTTAACTGCTCAACAGTAACTGTTTTAATATAGTAATGTCTCATAAACATATCCTTTTTGACAAAGGCAAGTGTCTCTCAGGAAATTGTCTAGTTCAGGAGGAAAACAACCAGAGAAAATTCGGAGAGGGAGAGATGTACTTCAGCTTCCACCTAGCTTCAAGACCGCAGCAACAACTGCTGAAAAACTAAAACTAAAAATCCTGCTTCTATGGGAGCTTGCCCCACCCATTCAGGCTGCTTCTGTTGTTCCAACTTTTTTAAAAAAAAAAAACCCAAAGTCTCACAGGCTGTTTACTTTATTGGCTTTCAGTAGGCAGCTCGGTGTCTCTGCCTTAAAACCCCTCTTCTAAGAAAAAAGGACAGTATACACCTCTTAAAGCCATAATATCATAAAATGGGGAAATCACTACGCCAGAAGGGGGTTTTGATATGTTGTCAAATCCACTCTGATTGAGGTGTTTCCATGGAGAATGCACTAGGGAACATTGTATCCCATACTTTTGTTTAATTTTTTTTTTTAAAAATACATATTCCTTTTATCTGCAGAGAGCAGAATTTGAAAATTCCTGGTGTCCCCTAACTTGTATATTTTGGAGGAAGAACAATCCTGGTTCTCTATTTTTAGGAAAAGTGAAACACACAAGGGAAAAATAAATTTGGATTTTGAAAGCTTTGCACAAAATAAATTTGTGCTTCAATTTTTTATGTTTCATATTTGAGGTTCTTAAATTAAGTAATTACTCCAGCTCAACATTTCCTTCTAAAAATTCAGCAGTCATTCTGCCATTGCAGGTGGAACATCATTCTATGTCTTACTTTAGGAAGAACATATGATACCCAGAATTGGACTCTTACATACTTAAGCCAATGTCATTTTAGCACAACTTGCCTGCTTTTGTACTCCGTGCTTCTACTCATAAAACACAGGATTCCATGAACTTTGCTGTCCTGTCCTACTGACTTCAAAGTTTCGTGCAAAAACATCCCCTTTATTTCTTTTTTTTATTAACCTATTTTTCTAACTAACCTGTTCAGAGATGTAGTTGCATACCACAGAGCGGTGGACCTTGATCTTGGGTCTTTTGGTCCAGGGGTAGGCATACTACCTCTGCACTGCATGAGACCCTCCATTCAGCTTGGACGATTTTTCATTTTACTGAGGCACAGTGTAGCCATTTTCAATCTGTGCTCGGATGTGTTATAATACACCACTGGAGCAGGCGGGTCTCCTGGCTCAAAGATAGGGGCACTACCACTGCAACACAGAAACTTCTATTGTCTCTTTCCATTCTTCGTTCCAAAATGTATCACCTGTGCTGAATTTCATCTGTTATGTATCTATCACCAATCCATTACCAATCTTCCCTAATGTTTACTATGTTATAAGTTTCATGTTGTCCAAAAATTTTAAAATTGTAACATGTAATCCGAGGACCAAGTCATTCGTGTATATCAAAAATAGTTGTCCTGGTACAGAATCATGGGACTACCATTGTAGTCTGAAGAACAGTTATTCACCACAGCAGTTTGCTATTTATTCCTTGGGCAAATTTGTATTGTTGCTGTGTATGTTTCTTATCCTATGGGTGTCAGTTTTGCCTAAAAGCCTAATGTGTATTACTTTTATCACCTGCCTTTTTAGAAGTCCTTCACTTCGACATAACTGCACTGATCTCATCGCCTGTTGCCTCAGCAAAAAACTCAATCACTTAAGCCAAGACACCATTTTACCTGTGTCAAATCTAGACTGAGCTGACCTTACTTTGACCAAGAGGTTGTCAGTTTTCTTTTGGAATACTGATTCAAAAAAACCCCCCAACGCAGTATTAAACCTACATCTTTCAGTCCTTTGGCAACAACCAAAATAGAAAAGAAGCAGAGTTAAAGGTTTGAGTCCCATGTGACTTTTTCTGTACTACTACGGACTCAATGTTAACTCTGCTTCTCTTTCCACCGCTGCTGCCAGACATCGTTTTTCCAGGATAATCAATTTCTATGTCAGATTTTCAGCATCTGTAGTATTTTCCTTTTATTCCTCCTCCCATTTGTGGTAATTGTAGATTTCCTTCAATCACTTTTTTTTTGTTTTAAATTGCATCTTGTCATTTTCAATAACTATTGATACTTATTGATCCTATTCCTGAGGTGTGTCCTGTCCTTCAGTACAATCACTGTCCTATTCAGTATTGGGATAGTTAAGTCTCCCATTATCACTACTTCATAGTTTTTGAACCTCTCAGTAATTTTCGTACATCTGTCTCAGTAATTTCTCCGTAAATCTGTGTTTGAAAAAGTTCTTCCTAACTGTAATGATTGGAACAGTGTCAGCCAGGTGGGTCGCATAGAATATGATTTCCCTGATTTGGGGCTGTTAACCTGGTCCAATCGGAGTCCTGGCTGATGCACACAAACAGGAGTATCAAGGGTTCTGCTCACAAGGATGGTTTTCTAGAGCAGTATGTTGAGGAGCCAACTAGAGGACATGTTATTTTTGATCAAGTAATGATAAGGGCTAATTAATAGTCTTCTTGTCAAATAATTTTCAGGGATGAGTGACTGTAATATGATAGAATTCTGTTATGTCTCAAACACGTGGTACTTCATTCTGAGGCAAGGGTGTTCAATTTGAATAAGGGAAATTATGAAGACACGAGGTACAAATTAGCTGAGGTGGATTAGGACGATACGTTAAAAGGCATGACTGCACATAGGCAATGGATAATCTTTAAGGAGCCATTACACTTAGAGCAACTATACATTCTTTTAAGGTCAAAAATCCAAAAGCAAGTTAGTCAACTGGGGTTAACAAAGAATTTTACAATTATAGTAGATTAAACAAAAAAGCCTGTAAATTTACAGAAATAACTGATTCTGAGGATTGGGCAATTGATAGAATACAACAGATGAGGACCAAGAAACTGATCAGGAAAGGGAGAATAGAATATAATATCGAATAAACAACAAATCTGATTGTAAAAGCTGCTACAGATGTAAAAGCTGTCAAAAGAAAATATTTGGCTAAAATGAATCTGGGTTCATTACAGACAGTCAGGAGAATTTATAATGAGGAATAGAGGAATGGCAAGGAAGCCACATGATTGATTTTTGTCTATTTTCACTAAGGAAGATACAGAACTAG